TTACTGACCAGGAGAGTGGAATTCAACTCCAATAGCAACAATCAGCAGCAGACTGCTTACTGGCGAAATGAGGCCTTTGTCAGGCTCTCTCGCATTTGTCCACAACTCAACTCAGCTCGACTTTCTGGCTGACTTCTGTTCCGTTTTTCGATTTTCAATGGATGTATTCTTCTTCACTCGGTCTTTACCGGTGTCTATGATGTGGCGGTTGGGCGCTTCTCTTTCGCACGAAGAAGACCCGAATTCAAATTTCACGTGGGGATGATTTTTATCGAATAACTCAGCCTTTGTTTGAATGTCGTATCGCTCTCAGCAAGGGTTGGGCCTTACAGTACAGGCAGAGTCGAAGCCAGCCTCCCAAAAGATCTAACTTGTGTTGTTGGGGGCTTAACTAAAATACCTTTAACTCGGACTCCCCTCTCTCTTTTGCCATCTCCGACCCCCCCCCCCCTCTCTCTGTCTGTTGTCTGTCTTTCTTTCTGTCACACGCACGCCCGCGCGCGCGCGCGCACACACACACACACACACACAACACACACACACACACACACACACACAAACACACACACTAACTCACTTTTGCATGTAGGCCTACATACACACATACACCTACATACACACCTACTTGCACAAATGGTACGTAGATACTCGCAAGTACAAAGCCAAACTTTCCTAACTGAATTGTATTTAAGTTTATCCAGTTGTTGGCCTTTGGGTCAAGATGTTATCAGTTTGTTCTAGAGGTGAGGGGAGGCTCTCAGCAGTTGACATGTCAGTTTTGAGGTTGCATTCCTTGATAACCTCAGGCTACTGCGTTCATTTTTCTATTGTGTTCAAGGTTTCCTGCACTTGCCAATCTCTCAGTTTTGGAAGTGTCAACCCAGGAAGCAGTCCTGGTGTTACATTTCCAGTGCTAAGCTAGGACTGGTATCAATATTTTGACTTAATTTTTTATTCAAACTTGAGAAAAACATGCAACCTGTCCACTTCACTGACTTGGTGATCTTTTGCTTATGATTAACTTTGTTATTTATTATGCTCTGGTGAATAGAATAATTGATATTTGTTTATTAGCATGGTCCCATCTTTTCCATTCCTTTTTTGCTTTTTTTCGATTGCTTAGACAGCAAATATTATAAACTGCAAGGTAAAGATGTGATAATGTTCCTTTACTCAAGAGCCTTGAAGGTGTATGTAATTATTATGGAAAGCAAAAAAAAAAAGTCATAAAAATGAAGAGAGAATTTAACCAATAAATTGAAAAGTCGTGCAGGAGCAGACTCTTCATGAAACGATGCTTTAACTCAAAGCTGAGCTGGACAGTTTTGGTCTCTGGTATGATTCCATGTTCCTTACCATTGGGCAAGCTGTTAAATTATTCTTTTTAGATTTTGCTTTTTCTTTTTGTGCTTTTCTCTTCACTTACGATATTTCATAATGTGATATAGCTTGATACAGTGTAGCGCATTAACAGTTACTAAATGTTACATTCATGTATCAGTACCATTATATTTGAAAAAAAAAAAAGAACTTGTCAAAGGAAGTGTCTCTGTTTTATTGCACAGCTGTTATTGATGTAGTGCGAAAAGATTTTAATATTGGTTAATGGTTCATCTCTGTATGCTGTTCCTCTGTAAAGAAGGAATTGTTGAACTCACAGTGTTTCATGTTAACTTCAGGTGAGAGACAAAGATGGTGGGAGGGGGTGGAAGGAGGTAAAGTAAAGACAGAGAGAAAGAGACATAGAGGGGGTAGGCAGAAAGAGGGGAAAGAATGATAGAGAGAGAGAAGG